GTCCTCAGGTCTCTCAACTAACAAACAGTGAATATACTTTGTTGAAAAGTATTTTATATGTTCTATCTGAGGACTCTCAATTTCACATGGGTCTTAGTTTTTCAGGTATGTTTCTCCTGAACAATGGTTCTATTTCTACCATACGAGCATTGTGCCTTAGGTATTGATGGTCTGCCCCTCTTTGCACACTGGCTGCTAGGAAGTTTAGAGACAAATTTATGGCTCACCTCTGGTGAATACAAAGGACTTCTAAACAATCTCAGCTTTTCTTTCTTTCCTATTTTTATTTTCCCTTTGCCTCAATTCCCTCACTATTTTTACGTCTTACAGTAACTTTCAAAGCTGCTTAAAATCTTTTACGGAACAAGGTAAGTGGGTGTTGCATGTATGTGTGTGTGTATGTATGTATAAATGGATAAATAAATAAATACAGGTTAAAAATTGGATAGCAAAAGCAACAGACTATGAATAAGAAGGTTTGAGTCTTATCTTAGAGCTACAACTTTATTAGTCACTTGACCAATAAATATCACAATCTAATTCTCCAAAAATTTTTAATTTACATAATGCCTTTTGCAAATAATTTTTTGAGAATTAATGGGTTTGAAAGCACTTGGTAATTGTAAAGTGCTATATAAATGAAAAGCATGATTACATTATTATTTTTATTAATTGTACATTGCTATAACCTCAAGTTTTAATATCAGTGAGTGAGTTTTGGTCAGTGGTAAGAATGTCGATCGAATTTTACTGGCATGTGTTCTAATCCATTTCTATTTTTAAACAGAAAATATTATGCGAAGTTTTAAGAATTCATAGAAAAGCCATTATATGAACAAAACTAGAAAAATCAAACTTTTTGTATCAGTCTTTCTTTCTTTCAATAAATTTACAACTTTCAGCTTAAACTTTAAATATATTTTGACTAAAGATGCCAGGGAACAAAGAAATTCAGTTAACAATATAACTGAGTGGATGAATCCACCACTCATTAAATTATATATTAAGTCATCATATAATCATTAATAAACCTGAATAAATAAATGAATAAACAAACAAACCTGAATTAATAAAACTGACTATTGGTATATAGCAACATATAGAGCTTAGCTTAAGCTAAAACTCAAGACTTTCACAATAACAGTAAAATGGTAATTTTACTTCAATATGCAATCTGAGAAATAACTGCCAAATTACCAACAATAAAGAAAATCTTAGAGAAATTACCACATTAAAAGTTTTAAAATTCTGAACCAAAACCTCAAAACCAGATGCCTATCAGAATCACAAGCCCATTGGTCAAGGTTAAAAACAAAACCAAACCCAAGAAAACAAAACTCAGGATCACTCAGCATTCAATGATGCTACTTCATCTTGGTACTCACAGAAAACAGCGAATTTTATGCAGAACCCAAGGCAGAATACTTTCAATTTTTAAATATTCAATGACTTCAGTATACCATATTAGCTTGTAATTTAATTAATACAACTTTAGACATGAAGATCACCTTTATAACACTGACTAAAAATTATTTAATATTTTTGGAAGAAAACTAATTTTTAAAAAATATATTAAAATGATAATAATGTCAATCCTGTACTTTTTATACATGTAAAATATTTTGAAATATGTATTAACTAATTTCTTATATATATTTTTGGTTTTCATATTATTATTAAGATGGAGAGATCCACAGAAAACTAACATTCTCTGAATACTTAAATCACAAGCATTTTGCTGGATGCTTTGACAAACGTCATCTCGCTTAAAAAGAACGCTAAATAAAGTTTTACACCTTCTTATGATCCATCAACCACAGCAACTAAATACTGGTATATAGCAACATCACAGAGGTTAGCCTAAGGTAAAACCTATAGCATCTTTAAAAAAGGGTAAAGGAAAGGAAACAAGCAAACAAACAAAACAAACAAACAAAAAGCACAAAGTTATATAAATCTTTATATAAAGATTTTAAAAACAAATGACACAAGACTGGACCACAGATATTCACATCAATGACTAGAGTTTCATATTTAGTGAAAGGCATTTATTTCTAAGTAGAGGGCTCATAGGTACTGTAAGGCACCTAGTACAATGGCATGAACATGGCAGCTATTCAATAAAATAATTTTAACTTCCGTTGATATCTTTGTTGTTCATTTATCAATCTAGTACAAATCAGCCAGTAGGTAGCATGGCATCAACCTGCAAAACTTTTGAGGTCTAAGCCTAGTGTTCTCTGAAGTCCTTGATAATTTATTGTCTGTTTGAACTAACACTTAGCATAAGCTACAACCTGATGTGTTAATAATCTTTCTATGTTTATAAGCTGACTCAAATAAATGGGCCTGTGTGGCTTATATCTTCACAGCTCTAACAGTATCTAACAATTTAATTAAGAGAGAGTCAACAACTATTTCTTATAAATCTGATGTTTCATAAAATTATGTCTTATCAACTATGTTCTGGGAAAAGAATTACACCTTTTTGTTTACACTTTGCTGACTCACCATTGCTTATAGAATAATGGTCAAATTCCTTCGTATGGAATTCAAAGCCCTATACTCTGGCACTATACTAGGCTTCCATCCTCAATCCATATGCTAGACCCTATTACACAGCATTTGCCAAACTCACTGTATATGTTTGAGCCTCCAAACATTTGCTGGACCGGTTCTTTCTGTAATTCAAGATGGCACATGCCTATGTATTCTGCAAAGCCCACCCCATCAAATCTTCTGTGAGGCTTTCCCAGAACCCCCCACCACTCCTACCACCACCCCCGCCAAACCCCTGCAGAGAACAATTCCTCCTCTCCATCTGGCAACCACTTTTATGAAAGCATTTTTCACAGATATTGTTAGTAGTCTGTCTTCTCCTTTGTGAACTTTCTCAGACTCCCATATCCAGAGTTAAGCACTCCATTTATTGCCCAACCCTGTCCCTGGTATGTAATTCTACTCCAGCACATAACACAGCACCCTGGAATTATTTGTCTTTATAACTACCAACCCTACTAGACCCTGTGCTCCTTGAGGATGTCACGTCATTCATCACTGAATCCCCAGGGACTACCTAGTACTTGATACACAGTAGGTGTTCAATAAATGGTATTAAGTTAATAAACAAAATACAATTGCTTTCTGCTAAATCAGAAAAACCTGGCACTGAGCATTCAGTTTACACAGATGCCTCCTTAGCATTCAAGCAGAATCCTTACTCCCCAGTGATTAAACAACAGCAAACAACAGTGGACAGGCAGCAAACCAGGTGACTTACGGAACGGAGCATGCTGCTTGGGGAGGAGGCAGGCTTTCAGCAAGGGAAAAGACAGACAGCGTTTAACGCTGAACAGTGTCCTCACATTGACTCCAGGAGGCTTACTTACATCATGGTGACTGGTGCTATAAGGAATGCTTTGCTAACATTCAGTAACATGAGTCCCAACAAAAGTGCTTCCTCACTTTCAATAAGTGACAAATGTCTATTTTCACTTAGACATCTCCTGAGAGAACAATCGACTAGGCATGTAACAGCTACATGTCTTCTTTCTTTTTTTTTGGTGAGGAAGATTGGCCCTGTTGCTTGAGGAAGACTGTCACTGAGCTAATATCTGTGCTAATCTTCTTCTATTTTGTATATGGGATACTGCCACAGCACAGCTTGATGAGTAGTGTATAGGTCTGTGCCCAGGATCTGAACCCATGAATCCTGGGCTGCTGAAGTGGAGTGTGCAAACTTAACCACTATGCCACCAAGCTGGACTGCTACATGTATTCTTAACACCAATTAATTGCACAAAAGGATTTGATATATACAATTTTTAACAAAAAGAACATAAATCAGAATTAATATGGCATGATGTTAAAAAGTTACTGTATTCTAACATGCCTAATCTATATCACAAGAAAATATCCACCTGTACAAATGTATACTACAGCATAATCTTTTTCTTATATGCGTTCTTCTTTTAACTTCTGGATGGCATAAATCAGAAACAATAAAATGAAGAGGTTAGGATAAAAAGTCTATTGTAAATATGGAAAAAGATATTGGAGGACTCAGAGTACAACTAATTCAGCAAACATTTGCTGAAATGCCAGGAAATACAGAAGACATAGTGTATATATGCACAGTGTAATGTCACTGCTCTCAAGCAACTTATAGTCTAACATAAAGCTTTCTACTACAATGTACTCAGAGAACTGAGCAAAAATAAGTAAGGATATCATTGAACTTGTCTTAAAAAGAAAAATATTATGTAACTATGACTAACTGGTTGTTCTGTTTTCTACAAAAACAATTATCTTCAACAGATTTAAACACTATTTCTACTGACTACATGCAGTAAAAAAACTTTTAGCAAAATGTACATCAAGCTTTAAACATTTTGAGAACCAAAAACTACTTTAAAAAAATAAACATAATGTTACTACATTTTGACATTTAAACTATCTTCATTTCATAACAATCATAAGCTATACACATACAAGATTCTTAGAGTTATAACTAATGGATGCAACAGTTTATAAAAGTTTAAACTGCTCTTGGCTTCTATTCCTGTCTTCTCATAGGGAAAACACCTATACTTAGGATGATATGCAAATGCTGGCCTTTATTTTAAAAATAAAATTTACCAGCAAAAGTGTGGCATAAAGTTTCTATTGGCTGAAAAGTATATCTTCTCTCATAAGTCAGAAGCTCCCTCTCTCTGTAATGTAAATGATAATTTGAGTGCCGAACATAAGAATACAGACATATTCCACAGATGCTATCTCTTATGCACTTTTCAAGTTGTGAGAAAACCTCTCACGACAATTTCAAATAGCTGGTTCTATTATATTTGTGTATTTGACTAAAATTTGCCTAAATTCTTTTAGGAAGTAAGCAGATATTAACAATTGGATTTCTAACTGAGCAAGACTAACCATGCTAAAAAAATGCTTTTTACTTTTTTGTTACTGAAAATTATTTTGCATGCTATCAAAGGCTTCTTTACCTGCAGATGGCTGGGAAACATTCTTGAAGACCCTTCTTTTTAACTAAAGATCCTTCAAGGCAGTACATAATGATATCCATAACCTTTATAGAGAAGATACAAATCTAAGATTAATTGCAAATAATTTTCCAAAATTTAAATTATTATCTTAGGCCTCATTTGCCCATGGACATTTTAGATAGTTTGATTTTAATATTTACTTTAAAACTATAGTATATCTACTAAAACTACAGTATATTTACTTTATACTACGGCTATCCTTTCTCTCATCTGTGAAAAACATTCGTAAGACAGTGCAGTAAAATAAAGAAATCAGACTTGTTTACTCTAAAGGCAATTCATATTTATAAACAGTTTGGTAGCTTTTATTTAAGCACACTATATGTTTTCTTTTATTTATAATGAAAGATGTCAAAGAGAACATGATCTTTAAAAATTACTCTAATACATACCAATTCCACGTGATTGGTAAAAGGACAGAGCAATCATTTTGATTTTGGAGGAAATTTAAATAAAGTCTCCAGGAATGATAAAAAAGTTAATTCATTTTAGTTACCTCTCTTTCTTTCTTTTAGAGATGCTGGAAATAGGCTGATTTATATTACTTCGCTGGAATATTTAATTTAGCCATATGTCATTTAAATCAGAGTCTTCTTACCTCCACAAGAAGATCTACAACATCTGTGGGCATCTTTTCAATGAGAATTTCAATGACTCTCAGAATTTCCCCTTTAGCTCGTGCGAGAGTTGTGGTGTGCATATTCTGCTGCGACTGGGTGTTTGCTGCAAGAGCAGTATGTCTGTGTACCTATAAAAACATATCCATGCACTCGATATGGGTGACACTCGATACAGTTTTACATTTCTACCCACTGCTTTATTTTTCACTTATTAATACAATATAAAAACTAAAGAATCAACAAAGACAAATCTCTTGGGGTGGGTCAGGAGATACTTTTGATTGCAAAAGAGTGTTTAGCACAATAAAAACTCAGTATTCTCTAATAAAATTCAATAAATTCCTGGGTATTATATGAGAATTTAATATAATATTATCATGACATTTTTAAAAAGAGACACACTGAAGGTTTGAGAAGTTGGGATACTTGGCACTGAGGTGGACAGCAGATAGCAGATACCAGCATGTATAGGATATGCTCCTTGTTCTCAAGTAATGATAGTAAATGATGCTTATACACCATTCTATGTGCTTTATAATCAAGTTGGGAAATTCAAATAAACATCCCTCCAAAAATAATTGGCATTGCAAAGAGTGTAAGTTCAGTGTGACGTTTCCCCCATACAAATTGTAAGTTCAGAGGAGAAAGGGCCTTAATGGACCCTGGACTAGCCATGGACTAGCCCTGGAGGAGGAGGCATGGAGATGGCATAAGGGACAGCAATAACAACGACAAATATTTCAGTATTACTCTAAAACTCTAAGTGAAGTGGAAAACTTGTTTTTAAAAGGCAATAAGTGTGGACTACGATGTTAAAATATTTTAAAACTACCTTTCTAACCATATGCTGGAGTAGAATAAATCCAAAGCATAGCTATTCTAACAGTTAATTTAAAGATACTCATATGTAAATGGTGCAAAATAAGTTAAAAAACATAACTAATAATAAATACTTGTTTACTCTCTTTAAAGAGGCAGTTTAATGCCTCACATTTATAGGACCTGTATAAGTGGTCAGACTGATGTAAGGCTTTTTCAGTATATTCACTATTACTATCTGTGCATAATTCTCTGATGGGAAAAACTGGCAAAAAATATTCCATGGCTAATATGTCTGTTAATTTATACATACATACACCTTATATGAATATATAATACCTATAAAATACATAAACACATATACATGTACATTTTAAATACAGTGGGACATCACTATTACAGTATGTACTATTAGAAAAACATATCCTTAGTCTACAAATTTATTTTAGATATGAATTCAAAGTCCCATCACCTCACATAAACCTATACAATTTGCTATTAGGATCCTCCTTCCTCCCTTCTAGCTACCTTCACCTCACAGATATTTGCTGCATGCCTGTTAAAGATGGCTGGGGCAGATATACGACTAATAGGTTTCAGGTTATCTGGGCAGACTCAGAGGTATTTATTTAATATTTTAAAAATTCATCATAGCTACCAGAACAACAACTCAGACAGAGCCCATATTCCGGGATCATGGGATCATGGACACCAAGTCTGCACACTATTCACACTGGAATGGAACAAACCTTTAAAAAAACATTTCAGAGCTTCTCATCCTGTCCTTTTTCTCCCACTACTAAGACCTATAGGAAAGATCCTATAATTGGTTCATTGTTCTTTACTAGTTTTTCAGTTAGACGTGGACAATTAGTTAGAACACTAAGAATGTGGGAATCAATTGGCATTCAAGTCTTTATCTGTGACATGTAATAGGAAAAACAATTAGCAAGTTTATGACTTACATTTTTGTTTACATTGGAGAGCCAGTGTTAAATAAGAAGTTTAGTTTTGATTACAGGTAGATATTTACACTTGTAAAATGTGAGTACCCTTAATATACTTTAATTTGAATAAGCTTGCTATATTTCTGATTGAAAAATTACTGTCAAATATTTACAACTGAATTAACTTTGAGAACAGAAATGAATGCAAAAGCACTAGTTCATGAATGCATTGCTGTGGAATTCAGTGTGCATGCACACAGGTACATACGTATTCATTTCAGTACTAAATCATTAATCTTCACTGTTCTAGAACAAACTGGAAGGATTACTGCGGATACAGACCCTCAGTTCACAATATCAAATAATTCCTCTAAAGGAGAATATGGAGCACACTGAGAAGTTCTGCTTACCTCTTTGGCTATAGTTGTGATGAAGGCGGGTGGTCTGGCAGTGGCAATGAGTGAGAGCGCATGCCTTGCAGAGCGGGCGGAGTCAGCTGCTGGGCTCAGAGGCAGCCCCATTGTGATGCTAAACAGGGATCAGAAAAAAAGGAAAAAAGAAAAGCAGCATTAGAAATATAGACTGAAGAGATTAGACACAGCTTATAATGTCAGTTCAAGGTCAATGGGAGCACTCAAACAGTTAGAATATAATGGACTTGCAACAATGAGCAGTGATTAGGAGTCAGGGTGTTCTGGCATCAAATACAAAATCGAATAATTAACCGTGAAGATTGAAAACAGTATGTGCATCTGTCCAAAGTGTTAAAAACGCCTTGTTAACAAATTATCAAGAACTAGTACTGAATACATATCACAAAGCTAGAATAAGGCACGAACGAATCCTGTGCTGCGAATTTTCATGTTTTTTCCTAAAAAAAGTAAAAGGTAGTAATTTGTTTATAAGGTCATATTAAAAGGCTACATTTAGGGCCATATATCTGAAAGAGAGCAAAATTCACTCCTGTCTAAAAAATTATCATAAGAACTGAGAATGACAAAATAATGTTTGGTTTGTATATTATTTTTAGTTTGAAATAGCCTTCGTACTGCTAGCTTACTCTGCACTCAATATCTTTAGAACCAATCCATTAATCAGCATGCTCTGGCAACAGTTATTTAGTACTGATGCAAAAATTATATTAACTGATATGTATTCTTTATGTATAAAGAACATACAGCATGGCAGTGTCCAGCCTATAAATAAAAATACATACATGATGAAATAGATCTTCCCAAACTGTGAGAGTGTCCTGATAGGATAGTGATGTTATATTCCTTTGCCACTCCCAAAACATACAAATGATATTCTTCTGTTTCTGAGCTTCCTTTATATTAAACAGAGACTACTGTGAAAAGTATTGACTTTTAATTAAACTGTGGCATGTGATCCACACATCAACTGTTTATCAAGAGTATTTTGTTATTCAGTAAGAGATCCAATTATAGTTTCTCCCCCTAGTTAAGTAATTTTGGTATTTAAATATCCATATAAAGATCTGTCCCGCTGTAATTAAATAAGTCTGTGTGCTTCATGTGTAAACTGGACTATGTTTACTAAAAATTCTCAAAAAGTTTATTGGTATCTCTGTAACTGATCTAAGAATCATTATTTTAACTTTTAGTTGAAAATAAAGATGCATTACATACGCAGTTTCATCATTGTTAAAAGAAGGTAAATTGATTACAGAAAATTCTGCTTATAATTTCTTTGTGACTGTTACGCTGCTTAAATCTTGGACCGATAACTGTCTCTATTCTTTTTTCTAAACTGAGGGTAGATACAAAGCAGGAACTCAGAGAGGAGGAAGGTGAGCCTTCCTCCCACTAAAAAGAAAGATGTGAGCAGAGAGAACAAAATACACACACTGAACAATGAACAGAAGGAATGCATTGGTGGGCGTGTCACCCCATGGAAGATCCTGATGCCCTGGGGTCCCAGTAGGGGCTGGAAAGAGGAAAGCAGGGTGGGGTAGTTAGCAAGGTTCTTTTCTGGATTAAATCTTCATATTGAGAATTCAGCAAAAGGAAATGTTTACTTTGTGAGTAGTGCTGGGGGCTAAACTGCTTAATAATTATAAAGTTTAGATCACATTTTAAGTCAAGTTTTAAAGTACTCAAGCTAATTAAACTTTTTAGATACTCTATGATGTCTCCTTTTTTTCATCAAAGTGGATGAACAGGTGTTGATAATACTGAAAGGCTGAAACAAACAAAAATGTTATTTTAATTGAAAAATTCTGAATAAACCTAAATCAAATTTTATAAGATCCATAAAATCATTGAACGTTGGAGTTAAAAAAGATCCCCTAGGCAACATCCCTGCCAAGCAGTCAACCAAGGAAAAGGAATATCTATCTCCTGGACAGCCCATCCCATATCTGGAAGGCATGGTACAGAGGAAAAAGAACTGAACACAGAACCCAAGGTCTAGGTTTGAAGTCAGCCTATTGGGTGCTATGTCACGTCCTCTTGCATCTGCCCTAGCACATCCCTAGGAAGTGGGTGACATCAGCATTTACAAAGGAGAACTCAGGTCCAGGGAAGTTCAGTGATGAGCCAAGGCAGTAGTGTAATGTCTTTCAGGATAGCTAACCTTCGAAGAAAATAACTGCAATACTGCAGTTAACTGACTTAATCAATTGGTAACAGGACTAAACTCAGTGGCTTTGGATGAATGGCTAGACTGCATCCCTGAGAGGGGTTTCTAGAGGTATGTGGTAATACTTGGACTTCAGCTCTGTTTTATTCAGTATCAACAGTGGGATGAGGGCTGGCCCAGTGGCATAGTGGTTAAGTTTGTGCACTCCACTTTGGAGGCCCAGGGTCCGCTGGTTCGGATCCCAGGCACGGACCTATGCACCACTTATCAAGCCATGCTGTGGCAGGCATCTCACACATAAAACAGATGAAGATGGGGGCTGGCCCGGTGGCACACCAGTTAAGTGCACACGTTCCACTTCAGCAGCCCGGGGTTCGCCAATTTGGATCCCGGGTGCAGACACGGCACCATTTGGCAAGCCATGTTGTGGTAGGCATTCCACATGTAAACTAGAGGAAGATGGGCACGGATGTTAGCTCAGGGCCAGCCTTTCTCAGCAAAAAGAGGAGGATTGGCAGCAGATGTTGCTCACGGCTAATCTTCCTCAAAAAAAAAAATTAAAAAATTAAAAAATTAAAAATGTAAATCAATAAAAATAAAAATAGTAAAATAAAATAGATGAAGATGGGCACAGATGTTAGCTCAGGGCCACTCTTCCTCAGCAAAAAGAGGAGGATTGGTGGCAGACACTAGCTCAGGGCTAATCTTCCTCAAAAAAAAAGATGGCTGAATGAAGATACAGGATCCATGGTTATCAATTTGTGTGAATATAAAGTTGTAAATAAGAACAACTGTATTAAATAACAGAACTGGAATTCAGAAAGTCCTCAGCAAGATCAAATTCAGTTAAATAAAGATATCTTATGTGTAGGTACAAACGACCAACTTTATAGAATTTGAATGGGTCATACACTCCTCTACTGAGCTTATGAAATTGACTTTTGAGGGGTGTATTTGAAACACAGATTGTATGTTAGTGTTGTGGCTGCCATAAAAGCTAGGTTGTACCAAGGGAAATACTTGTATAATAACAGAGAGGGTGTTAGCCCTGCTGTACTTCACGGCTCGGAGTGCCTCTCTGCCTTCCCCATGGAGGTGCTGCTCCCTGCCTTCTGCAGGACAAGCGCTATAGCATACTCCTGGAGTCCACAGAAGTCCTGTCCATTCCCAGCTCTGTGCTGCTGTGACCTCTTGCAGGCGGAAACCAGAGTTCTACTCACATAAACAGGATCCTAGCAAACTCACCACCCACTTCTAAGTCCTTTCTTCTACCCCTTTTGTTACTTGGAGGAGAAACATTTAGTGGGAAGCTGGAAAGCGGGCAGGATAGAGAGGAAAAAGAGAGAGAAAGAATGAGAATGAATGAATATGCACGTGTGTGTGCACGTGAGGATGCGGGTGGTCAGCTGACAGACTTTCAAGGCTCATGCCACAGCGACAAGTGGATATTCCCCCACCCTTATGCCGTGCCTCGAGGCCACCCCAGATTGAATAAACACAATGTCTTCTTGTATACTGAGAATATTGAAAATGAGTATACTGAAATACCTACTTCACAAGGTTGATGAGAAGATTTAATGAGATAACAGATTCAAAATCATCCAGCCCTGCACCTGACCTACATTGTATGTACAATAGATGCTTCTTGTGACCAAAGATTCCTTAACCAAGTGAAAAGAAAACAAGGTCAACTAACAGCAGCTCACTGGCTTCAAGTTAAAGGCCTAGTCACATATCACCCTTCCCCCATCTCAGCAAATGATTTTGTGAATTTGGGGGAATCAGCGAACTTTTTCCAGTAAGAAAAGTGGTGAAGTTTGGCAAGGGGTGGTGAGGTCTAGAAGAGAAGCTGTAGAGTAAGAGGGAAGGAAGCTAACCGAACACGTGTAAAAGTCTTGGCTGTTGAGTTCAGTGGAAGCTGGAACACCCAACATGATGCAGAGGCATCGCTGTGTGCATTTGAGTGATTCCCGTCATCAGGGTCTGGCGGTCTGAGTGCAGGGCTGCATAACGTGGACAGATCTATTGCTCTGAGGTCAGGACTCTGCAGTGACCTTTAGAGCAGCCACAGTACAAAAGTGGGAGGGTGTGAGTGTGATAACAGAAAGGAGTTGCCAAGCCATAGAGGAAGAAGAGAAACCTTGTCTCTTCCCTCCATAGTCTACTCAATGCACCACTACTAGAGTAATCTTTCAAAAGCACCAACTTTATTTCATGGTTAACCTGCTTAAAACCCTCAGCGGCTCCTATTGCTTCTAAGAAAAATCTTAGACTCCTTGGTTTTAAACTCTAGGCCCTCAAATAATCTAGTTTCACTAATTTATAACTCAGTCTTTTTAACACCAATGCTTCTGAGGCCCCACTAATTTCAAAGTTGGGCCCCGAAATCGTATTCCTTTTTTATTCTAGTATTTTGCTAATGCTTTTCCCCTACCCCTTTCCCTCCCCTCTGTTCAATTCTTGTGGAAGCCCAGGTGGTATTTGGCAACTGCTACAGCACTGAAGTACTTTCTATTGAAACAAAAAGAACCAACAACAAAACCCATTTATTCCAGGCCCTTAGCACGAATCACATTCTGCCAGGCATTATGAATTAGTACTGTATTGTGAACTCCGTGCAGACTGGGACCGGCCATCTAATCCTGTGTATCCCCCCAAAGTGCCTAGTACAGCCCTTGGACACAGTGTTAGCTCAGTAGTTACACACTAAATGAAGTTACCTAGCAAATTCAGCAGGAAAAAAAAAAATCACTTAAGCCAGTTATTTGACTGAATTGACCAGGCAATGAAGTCAAAGTAATTGATCTGGTAGTCCCAACAGACAGTCTAATTCCGCATGTAGTGATCTTTAAAGTCAAGAGTACACGGTGTTTGTGATATATTTTAATGTGGTATTCTAACTGAAAGAAGAAGGATCATGCTATCAG